AAAAACTACCTAAGTTCTCACCTTGTAAGATGTCTTTTCAACTTTTAATACTACCAATCACTCAACTCTTCCCCAAATACTCTCATCCTCTTATTTTACTCCCATCTCTGCAACTAGAAGATTCTAGCAAATACACAAATCTGCTCATGTCACTCTCCAGCTTGAAACATCATAGAATAAATTCACACTTGCAGGGCTGTACCAGAAGCAATCCCTGCTTACCTCTCCAAACCACTGCCCACTTCACACCATGCAACCCAACTGTACTTGTTTTCTTTCAGTTCTTCAAAGGTACCACACTCTCAAAGACTTTGGGGGACTTCACATACAGCGTTTGCTCTGTCTGGCACACTTTTTAATCACCCCTCAATAATTGACCTAATGAATAAATTACCTATATGTGCAATGAATTACCCATACATGATCCCAGAACTGTTGTGAAGGGGAGAGATTTCTTAGTCATTGGAAATGTTACCCAGCTACAAGTAAACTTATAGTAAAAATAAAATGCATATAGAAAGCCTCATAGAAAGCCTCATCTCTCAAATTAGGAGGAAACCTCACTCTTTCAGGAATGAAGTTTTGGGAATTGGTGACCATCTATTTGCTAACCTGAGAGTTTATTAATGAAGTTCTCTATCTATATTTTCTGCATAACAAGCATAACAGCCTATGTTCAGGGATGATTTCTCAAAGTGATCAGTCTGCACTAACATTAGCTTCATAAGTTATAATTTTAAGTATATTGTGAATAGAAAAAAACATTATTAAGAAGAATATATGTGAAATTTCAACAGTGAGATGTTTGCTTTTAGTATTAACAATCCCTGAAAATCAGACAGAAGAGAGGGTGAGATAGTCATGGGTTTAATGATGCAATGCTTATTAACCTCTTCCAAATAGGGAATAAACTATAAACCCAAGGTTTCTATGGCAATATAATTTCCAGAAAGAAATTCAAAAAGAAGTAATTGGGTGACTAATTTGTGATAGGCCAGTGGTCTTTCCAGTAAGAAAAAGAAAAGTACAGAAAGGGTGCTTAAAAGTCCAGTAAATAGATCATTTGGTCTGGAAGACAAAGTGAAAAACTCCTATTGCCTTATGCATGGAGACTGGGAGAGCACCTGCTAAGAAAGGTAGTGTTGCTTTACCCAGGGAACTTGTTTCTCTACAGTAGTGCTGTCCTCAGAAATACAATGAAGCCCCATGACATTTTTAATTTTAGAGTAGCCACATTAAAAAGATAAAAAGAAAAATAAGTGAACTAAAATTTAACATATTTTATTTAACCTATTAATTTCAAACTATTAACTATGTAATCAAGATTTATTTCAATATGTAATCAATATCTTAAAATTCAATGAGATATTTATCTTTTTTTACACTGTCTTTATAATCTATTATATAACTTGTATTATAGAACTTCTCACAGCAGACATTTCATGTGCTCAAGAGGTGTATGTGGCTAGTGGCTACTTTACTGTACAGTGTAACTGTATGACTTTATTATAGAGATAAGTGTATGTGTAATGCTATTAGTAGTAATTCCAAGTAATGAAAAATCTGCAGTGTCTTTTGATAATCAAATAAAGGGCATCTTTTAAAGTATAATTTGATAAGTGTTCATGTATTTTATTAAGTTCTAATTTTTTGAATACTGGTAGTCCATGGATGGATATACTTATCTATATCAATGGAGTGGTTATTTGTAATGCCCTGATTCAGAACCTATGTCATTTTCCTTTAAACAAGCCCAGCAAAGATGCAGAATTCCTGATGGAAAATAAAATAGAAGTGGAAGTCACCATGGTCTCTTCAAATAGAGTCTCCTTGAGTAAGGTGGGGCCCAGTTCCTCCTGATGGGGAGACCACCTTCCTGTGGTTCAAGGAGAGAAGTACCAAGGAAGTAAAAGAAGAGACATCCCAGGAAATGAGAGAAGAGATACCTTTAGAGCAGGCAAGAAAGTGGAAGAAGGCTTAGTACACAGGAAGGAAAGCACCCTGTGGTGCGATACAGTCAACTCTCTCCATGCCATATCTCCAATCAATTCACTTTGCCAAAAGGGAACTCCCAACAATTCCCACCCCAAGCATTCTAGATAAAAGAGCATTTGCAGCTCCATTTGACTATGGTTACAGTGAACATAATGTGGTATACAGCACCATCCACAGGGGTAAGATAGGGAGGGGAAGTCTATCTAAATCAGCCATTGATGTGACATTCTACAGAGACTTAGACACAAGTCCACACTGGCACTTTGAATTACATAGGAGATGGCCACCATTTTAAGAGATTCTGAAACATCAGGTTCTTAATAACAGGGAAAGTTATGCCAAATGAAAGCAGATACTTTACTGACGTAACAATCATAGCTCTACTTTTATTATTATAACATTTTTGGTGGGCCAATAAGAAAATATTTTTCATTGTGTTTCATTTCAATTGTTACCTTTTATGTATTTTTAAAAACTTTTTGTAGTTAATTAATTGGACTTAATTACTAACTTTGATAACACTTATCACAGTTAACTTACAGATATAGATTTGAGTGGACAATAGAGACAAGAAAAAATAAACTCGTATTTTGAATGTCTGTTATGGATCCAGTATTGAGCTAAGTATTTTCCAAACATTATAATCACTCACAATTGCAGCTATCTTATATAGAAGATTCTTTCTCTGTGTGTATTCAGTGTGCTGTCTCTTCTCTCCCCCTCTCTCTCTCTTTCACACACACACACACACACACACACACACACACACACACTGTCTTCAACCCTTTTCATAAGAAACAGTGCATATCCCACGAACTTTACAATCCTAAAATATCTTTGGTTATCAATTTATAATTTTCAGTTTTCTTTCTAGATTTTAGCCACAGTATTTTATGTAATAGCTCTAAATTACTTCTCCTGAATTGGTTCTGAGCAGAGACACAGATTGTTGTTACAGGAATGGAAGACTTTCCATTCAGAATGCTCCATGTGAAATAACTTTGGTCATGTCTTTTACAAATGTTCAAAACCATTACTATTAACCTTTTAACCAGCTGATTAGCTAAGATTCTTGTATTCCTTTTTGTATTTGATCTCAATAAGCACCTTTTTTATTGGCCCAAATTTTGAAAGTGAAAAATATCACTTTAGTTTATCATTTACAACAAATTCTTTCACCCACCAATTAGGATTATGACAATCAAACTTTCACTTTACTTTTACTCATCCATCCAATAAGTCTTCTTTTATTTTTTCTGTTTGTTGCCTGTCTACCATGTTCATATTTCTCTGAGGATACTTCTGTAATCAAGCCTACATCCCACATGCCCAATGATTTTAGGTTTTCTGTCAACTGAGAGCCATTATTATCTAAAATTTTACATAATACTTTGACATCAGCCTTCCCATTAAAAACAGACATTCAGAAATAGATTCAATGCCCTTCTTGGCAGGAAGTAGGTGCTAAATACCAGTAGTTGTAAAGCCATGGAAACAATGGCGGGACAACAGAAAAGAACGGGTTTCCTCCTTAGACCTTGTCAAGATCCTTTGGCAGGTCAAGGTTGACTGTTTCATTCCCTAATTCTTTATCTCACAACTCTCATGCAAAGAAAATTAAGCTTTGAAAAACTAATCCAAATGTATAGATCTGCAAGTATTTTATGCATCCTTTTGTCTGCCTTTGGGATGTAGGATGCTTAATGAGAGGATGGGGCCTAATTCTACATGGTACAGATAACGCCTGGATTTTTGTGGGTGCCCTCAAGAGCCAAAAGAAAAAAATTCATTTTGTTCATGCTCTATTTGTATTCTCCCAAATGAAGGAAACCTACTTCATAGTTGAGAAAACACAAAGACTACTATAAAAAGAAAAAGTAGTTTAAAATGAAATAAGAAGTCATTCTCAAAATTCCATTTATAGCAAAGATAAATATGAGAAAATTACCAATTATGACCTTTTATTCACCACTGACAGATGATCCATCAGCTCAAAACACAACATACTGGATCATTCATTTAATTTTATCTGCACTGAGAACGCATACATGAAATGAAAAGGCTGAAGCAGACCACCGATTTTTGGCTTGGGGCCCCACCTATCACTCTCCAGGTAAGTAAATTTTAAAAAGGTACTTGCAATTCTCAATCTGAGCCTCATATGTAAAGTAAAAACAATACAGCCATAACACAGAGTTGCTCTGAGGTGAAAAAATTAACTAGTATACATAGCAGTCTCTAACAGTGTTTAGAACAAGATAGGTCGAAATTAATATTAGTTCCCCTTTCTTCCCCGAATGTGTCTGTGCACAGCAAATTTGCTTTTGGCTTTGAAACATGAAACTTCTGCCCTCCCCCATCTGCAAGCATTCTTCAATTTGTCACAAACCTGAGAAGAGACATTAAGAAATGATTGCAGAAAGACGGATTCACTTAACTTGAGAGTTTGGGGAGAGAAAAATCATGTGAATTATATTAACAACTAAGAGTCCATTTTTTCTTAGTGTTCTTCTTTTACATTGCATATTCTAAGTAAAACTGTACTAGTTTCTTTAAAAATAAATAAATAAAAGGAAAAGAAAGGAAGAAAAAGCCCGTAAGCTAAAGAAATGACAGCATGTCGGATCAGTTCCAGGCACTTTTCTTGATCTGCCCCTTAGCCTGCGCCTTAACAAAGTTCATAGGTCAAAGATGGGTACAAAATTCTTAAGTCTTGGCTTAGCTGGCTTCTGCCCTTAATATGCTAAGAAACTTACCCAAAAGAGTTTTGCAAGAGTTCTGCAATCATTGCCCTAAGCAAAAGGGAGAAAAGCTATTGATAGAAAGAAGGGGACCACTGTTGTGTCAAGAAAGGAAGACTGTGTAGAGTTAAAACAGAAAAGCATGCACTCTAAACTAGAAGAAACGGCCATCACTGCTTGTCCCAGGACTTGCCCTACAGTGGGGTCCGCAGAGGGTGGGGGTGGGGGTGGGGTCACTAACTCCTAGTCCCAGAGCCAACTCACCCAGCTGGAGCTGTTCACAAGTCTGGCGGAGGTTCTTTCCGATCCTGCATTTGTAAATCGCCCCAGGGTTGACCACCGAAGCGTTGGCTAGCCAGTTGGCAGTAGGCGCCCCCACGACGAGCCTAAAGTGGGAAATGAGCACGTGCGCTCAGACGTGAGCATGCTATCAACCGAACGCATCAGCAGCCATGCTGAGCTGTGGGACCGCTGGCCGCTGTCCCCCCCACCCCACTATCCTCGCCAACTGCCCAGTGATCCCCAGGGTCTGGCACCAGGATGCGCCCCGGGCACTGCCACCCCTGGAGAAGTTCGATTCCTGGGCAGTTCTCCAGGGAGCTGCCCTGCTGCCTCACCCAGAAGGAGGAAAGTTTGAACCCAGCCAGGGAGGATGTGGGGAGGGGTTCTCACGCCCTCCGAGATGCAGACAGCAAGAGCCACCGCCTCCAGGCCACTCACCATCGGCTGGCCCCGTGGCTGTGCAGCACCACCGAGTAGCCGAACAGCGTGCCGGGGGGGCCCTGGTAGAGCAGCGCGCTCTCGGTGTCCACGTTGTAGGGGTGCCCCATCGGGACCCCCAGGCACAGCAACAGCATCACCGCTTCCCGGACGGCGGCCCCTCGGGGGCCGGGTCCTCGCCTCGCTTCCGCAGCCATGTACTCTCGGGGGGGAACATTCAACACCAAACGGCCACTGCCCCAAAGTTGCACGGGATGCGACGGCTGGTCAAGGCGAAGAGCGCCCCAAGAGATGAAGTGCAGCGTGTCCGGCGCCGGCGGGCGACAGAGGAGGGAGGGACCCGCGGGGAGGGAGGGGAAGTTGGGCTGCCGCAGGCGGAGCGATCGAGGGCGCTCGGGGATACCGCTAGCTCTCCCGCCCCACGCCCGGTTTCTGCGGCCTGGGGGTGCGGTGCTCGTGCGGTCCCCGGGCGCGGGCGGCTGGGTGGGGTCCTGGGCGTGGTGCAGAGGCGCTGGGTCTGGCTGCGTCTCCCGCCACGCGCAGCTGTAGAGGGCGCTGGGGGACCTCTGCTGCACTGGACGCAGGTCCTGACTGGCCCACTGACCGCGGAATGACTGGGGGGCTCTTGGGGCCTTAGCAAGGGTGGACCTGGAGGGTACACGGGACTCCCCCTTTTAACCGTGGTTGGGTCCGTATGCGGAGCCGCAAGGCCCAGACCCGCACACACCACGGAGGGAACACCCACACTCAGCCACCAACCTCAGTGCCCAAAAGGCCAGTTCCCAGCTCCAGGATGGGGACTACAGGCAGGAGCCATCCAAATCTATCTTTGCTAGTTAAGTGCTATATCGGATTTTTCATAAGCAATCACTAGACAAATAACACGGTAGGCCACAAAATCAAAACAAAACAACAACAAAAAAGAACTCCCTGAAGGCTAAGGCTGCTGGGAAACATTTTGATGACAAAGACAGACATTATGGCTATTCTCTCCAAAACTCACAGCTCTGCACGCTTGTACGCCCACTTCCTCCCTTTCCACACTTCCTCTAAACCCCGACTGTATGCTTGAGCAGGTCGAGCAGCAGCTTGAGACAAAACACAGGGGTTCTTCACACTGATGCTGGGCTAACAAAACACTGCAACTTGCCTCACTAAACAGAGTTCTCCGCGGGCTTCTTGAGGATGGATCCTCTCAGTTGCCATCAGGAGTGTAGACTGTGAAGTCAAGGTCAGAATGAGCCTCTTGAAAACTGCTGGTGACCCACAACACAACACTCCTGAACTGAGTCCTGAGTCTAATCCTAATGTCCTCTAGATGTGTCTCAGGTCTCTTCCTTTAGCAACCAGAGAGACAGGGGAAGTTTATTAGAATATTTTCAGGAGAAGCAGCTCACCCTCATTCATTATTGTTACATGGAGATACAAATGAAAAGAGAAAAGACTTCGTCCAAGGGTGTGTCTGCATGAGGAAAACCGTACAGAAATAGCACGTCTTAAGTTGTAATTGCAGACATACAAAACACTTGCTTTCTGATTCAGCACATTTCACTGGGCAGATAACTGCCAGGTCCTCAGGATGCCATCACAAACAAGGCAGGACTGATTCAGCCCTCAGAAGCAATTTCAGTCAAATGATACATAGGCAAACTTTTACTAGTAGACAGAGTTCAGGTGTGTTGGGGACTCTGAAGAGAGATTTTGGAAAACAAGGACGGTTGAGTCAGGCAGGTTAAGCAGTTAGAGAACTGAATGAGGGCAGGCACCATTAGGGACAGGTGGAGGAACTGAGAGAGGTTATCTGGGCATTTAGCAACCCTCACACAGGTGGGTGTGGTGTGAGACTGACTAGGGACACAGGGTCACATCCTCAGCCTGGTAGGAAGGTTAGGAAGTTTAAACTCCATACTGGGCCTGATAGAGATTTGTCTTGCTTGGCTATACATCTCAGAAGTCTGAAAGTAAGAAAGAAGGCAGAAAACCTAATTTCAGAGGCTTCTTCAATAATAAGTAGAGAGAGAGAGATGGCTTGAATTGAAGTAGCAGGAAGGATAGAAGAAAAACAGATTCAAGAGATATCTGAGAGAGAGAACCCCCATAGAACATGTTAACAGTATTGATCAGTATGGATGTAGGACTGAGATGAAGAAGTCAGGATGATGGCAAACTTTGGGGTTTAGAAATGTGGTGTGTGGTGCTACTTTCATGAGGGAAACCCACAATGGAGAAAGGAGATGGTGTATGTGTACCTGCACCTGAATTGGAGCCCTTGAGCAGTCAAGTTTTAGACACATGGAGTTGGAGACGTCAGTGGGGTGTCATGATAGTATAGCCAGACGCAATTAGATTACTTTTACCTTTGTCAACAGACAAGACAAGACAAAAGGAACATTAGCCTTCTCTCATTACTGCAACAAAATAACAGGCCAAAAGGATATGTGATAAAGCAAGGAAGTAGCTTCCACCAAGGTAGCAATTAGGGACCATGGTTGAAAGGTGCTGCTGTGTTTCTTTCTGCAGTTGTGCAGAGGCCTTTTTTCTAAGTAGATCTATGTGCAGATTTTAATCCAGGTCTACACCTAAGCCACATTGTTTTTATTCTGAAATAAGTAATCCCTACAGTTGGCAGCAACAAAACCTACAGTTGTGGCCCTGGGAAGCAGGAATATTGAAGTCAGCCAAAACTGATCAGAAGCCCTACCTCTGTCTTCACCAGGATCTTATGCAATGAAATCACTCCATACAATTCTGTTCACAGCGTAGTTACAGTAAGCAGTTTAAGGGGAGGAATGAGGAGGGTGTTTGCAGGGCCAGCTAGAGGAACTGGGAGGGGTTGGCTGGCCAGAGCAGATAGCTGTGGAGTGGTTAGCAGGGTAGCACCCTACTTTTACTGTTAAGGTTATGGTTATGATTCACTACCCTTCCAGGAGTAGCCACCCAGTATTCTTCACATGCTATGCTAGCCTGGGTTTCCTTCCCCTCAGGGCTTACAAAATAGCTCACATTCCTTAATTAATAAAAGGTTTTTGATATTGCTTTGATAAAGCCTGAAGATACTGCTCTCTCACTCTCATTTGTAAGCAAGTGGGAAAATCAGGTGGAGAAGGAGGGGGAAAGGATGGAGGAGAGGAGGAGGACTTTTTGAAATGATTTATGCTAATCTCCCACTCTCAACTGGTCTTAATTAGTTAGCATATGTCATCTGATTAACATACATTCAGGGACCACTGTGTTCCAGGAGCTACATTCAGGACTCACAGGTAGACAAAACACAAATGGTCTCTATCCTTGTGAGAAGTCCTCCCCAGTAAATGATTCTAATAGGGACTTACTCAAGTTTTCAGTTCTAATGAAGAGTGAGCATTTCTCCTTCTTGAAAGTCTTGGTTCTCATGACACCACCTTTTTAAAATCCCCTCTCCCTTTCTAATTTGCCCTCTGAGTCTCCTTTCCTTCCAGGTAAATGCTGAAAAGCACCTAGGTTGTGTTCTAGGCCCTCCCTCCTTCTCCATCCCCCATCTTTAATAGGAGATCTAAGCTATTTCCTAAGTCTCTAAGTGCCACCAAAACATCATGTGTTCTCAGGTCATGTCTCCAGCCAGGACTTTTCTTCCGAGTGCTAGGCTTGTACATTCTGTTGCCTACATTTCTACTTGGCTCTCTTGGTGATTGTGCATGTAAAATATGGGATACTGATTTGTAGTGCTCTTGCCCTATCTGAGCTATTCTGCCACCCAGTCACTTCCTTAATAAGAAAACAGTACTATTTGCCCAACTGTTCAGCCCAGAAATTTGGAACATGATCCTTGCTCCCTTTCTCTATGCCTAACAACAAATCTATTGATCATGAAGCCCTGTCAATTTAACCAGTAAAATACATCCCAAATCCACTTTTTTTTTTCCTACAATAGTCCCTGCTCCTGGGACAGAGTATGCAGATTCAGTTGCCACCTCCCCAAAGCACCCATATTCTTTTTTATCTTCTTGCACAACTAGTAACCTTTCCCAAAATGGGATAATCTCACCTGGGCTGTTTAATAATCTGCTATCTGGTCTTCCGTTACCCCTCCCCACCTCAGCAATTTTCTACACAGAAGCTAAGATGAACTTTCAAAATTCTAAATCAATCATGTAGCCACTCCTGAAATCTTTTAAATAGTTTCCCATTGCTCTTATAGTACAGACCATGTGATCCCTTTGATTTGACCTCTGACTACTTCCCAAGCCTGAACACAGGCCACTCCCATGGGATCCTTTGCTTTGGCCACATCTGCTTTTCTTAATTTCCTTCAGGATGGCATGGTCTTTTCAAACTCCTAGTCTTTGCCTGTCTTGTACTCTCTGTCTGGATGCACAGTCTGACTTTGCACACAATTCCTCTTTTTCTTCATTCCATCTCCACTTAAAGTTCCCTTCCTACAGGGGATTTTTCTGTCCATTTATTTAAAATAGGTCACCATATTATTCCTCACTGATAGTCCTGTTCATTCTCTTCAGAAATCTGACATTGATAGTTACACACAGTTATATCTTCTCTATTTAATATTTCCTTTTCCATCGTGTTTTCCTCCATAGAATATGAGAGCAAAAAACATGTTTTGGGGTATTACAAATGTTCATCATTGTGTCTCCAGTACTAGACGTGTTACTGGGCAAGTAGCAGGTGCTTGGTATGAAATTTTTTTAGCATCCCTTACATGGATTGAACTTTTTACATCACTAGTGTCATAAATGGAGCGGAATCATAATACTCATAGGTTTATGTTCACTCCTCGTTACATGCAAAATATTGTGCTAGGTCAAAGAGGTATAAGAAATGAATCTTAATCTCAAGCAGTTTATAATATAAAAGGAAGACACATGCCTTATGTAACAATGTAATATGGTCAAATGTGAATGCTATACAGCGGGCAGAGAAGAGATGGTTGCTAACAAATGGTGTAGGCATAAAAGGCAGTTCTGAGACCTGAATTTAGAGTGTAAGCTGGGGAAAATGAAAGAACTAATAGAGTACATTGGGGAAAAAGTACCCTGCCATTGTGCCAGGTGTAAGCAATATGGGGAAGACTGACACTATCAGGCAGAAAGACTAGGATAATGTTGGAACCAAGAAAAATAAAAACAAAGAAAACACTCAACCAGAAGGAAGGGTTGGAATGCAGTGTATTTGGATTATGTCAGCTGGGTTTCTAGACATGAGGCTGAAATATTCTTGGTTCACTCATGTAGCTATGTCTGTGGTGTGTTGAACTTTATTAGATAATTTTAAATTATGATATAAAATTAATTAGAGATGCATAAAGGGAATGTTTACAATCTTTCTGCCTTCCTCTTATCCAACCTTTGAAGGCAGCTCTCCCCCAGTAGAATGTCTGCATCCAAGTCTTATCTCAAGGTGGCTCTAGAGATT